TCTATAGTGGGCCATGGTGGTATGGGGAAGACAACTCTCTTGCAACATGTTTATAAAGATGATGAAATTACAAAGGAATTTGATCTTAAAATGTGGGTTTGTGTTTCCAACAACTTTGATGTGAAAAAAGTCATTGCAGATATGTTGGAATGTCTTAAGAAGGAGAGGCCTCGTTGGGAGACACTTGTGGCACTTCAAGGGCGTCTCGAGGAGGAGGTGATGTACAAGAAGTTCTTACTTGTGCTGGATGATATTTGGGAGGAGGAGGAGGAACGGGATAGAAGTAAATGGGAGAATGTGTTCGCCCCTCTAGCTTCTCGGGCTTTTGGTAGTAAGATTCTGGTAACAACTCGAACAGATTCAGTTGCACTGATGTTTGCAAACTTAATTAAAAAGAAGAAGGAAATAATTAAATTAAAGGGCCTAGAGAAAGATGAGTGTTTGCAGCTCCTCAACTCTCATGCATTTTCTGGTGTAGAGAACCCTAATGATCATGAAAATTTAAGAGTCATTGCTCGAGATATAGTTAAAAAGCTTTCAAGTTCTCCTTTGGCAGCAAAGGTCATTGGTGGTGTTCTAAATTCTCTTGACTTGGATGAAAGGCGTTGGAGGACAGTTCTAGAAAGCAATTTATTGGGTCAGACTTCTGTCGATTCCATCTTAAGACTGAGCTATATAGTTCTGCCAAATCCTTTAAAAAGTTGTTTTGCATTTTGCGGCATGTTCGCACAAGATCATAAGTTTGATAAAGAAGATTTAATCCGAATGTGGATTGCGTTGGGTTTCATTCAGCCATCTCTTGATCAAGAAGAGACTATGGAGGATATCGGGGGAAGGTATTTTGACGTTTTGGCTAAAAAATCTTTCTTTGACAAGTTTGACAAAGGCTACAAGATGCATGATTTACTACATAAATTGGCACAGTCAGTTTTCAAACAAGAATGTTTAAGGGTTGAGGATAGTACAAAGTTGCCTTCTAAAATTCCTGAGACTCTGCGACACTTGTCTATTAAAACTACAAATCTAGACATCTTAAGACAGATTGAGAAGTTTAAACATTTGCATTCTCTTTTCTTGTTCTATGAAGGTTCTAATCAGGATCTTTGCGGTGCACTTATTAAAATATTCAAAGCATCGAGATGCTTGCGCTTATTATACATACATACTCATGAATTGGAAATGATACCTGAGGAGATTGGATATTTGAAACATCTTCGATATTTGGATATTAGAAGAATTGATGTCACTGGGCTACCAAGATCTCTAAGTAACCTCTATCACTTGCAATACATAATCTATGAAGGATGGGTAAAGTCAAGCCGACTTGGCCGACTTGAAGTTGATGATGTTTTACCAATTGACATTAAAAGCTTTTCTAACTTGCGTTTGGTGACATTGCTCGGACATTGTTTTTCATCGGTACGTGGGATTGGGAAGCTAAACTTTCTTGATGAATTGGAAATGTTTGATCTTAGAGATGAGATGGGTTATAGAATTGATGAGTTGAAGTATTTGAATTATCTTTGCAAATTAGGCATCAATTGCCTTGAAAATTTGAAGGATGCCGAGGAGGCTCGTAATGCCCAACTATGTGAAAAGAGGAGGCTCGCAGATTTGACCTTATGTTGGAGTGACACTGATTCAAGGAATATCGATTTAAATCAAAACGTGCTCGACAACCTTCAACCACCAAAATGTCTAAGGAATCTGAGCATAAAGAGATACATGGGTGCAAGGTCTGCAATATGGATGAACAATGTCAATCTGCTCTCCAGCATACAAAAAATTGAGGAAATCGAATTGTCAGATTGCATGGAATGGGAAACTCTTCCACCTTTTGGGCAACTTCCCTTTCTCAAGTCTCTGAGACTTTCTAACATGCCGAAAGTAAAATGGCTCGAAAGTAAATTTAATGGGAATGATAAATACCGTGCTTTTCCATTGCTAGAGGTGTTATATATTTGGGGATTAGAAGCATTAGAAGATTGGTTTGAGGCAGGAATAGCTGCTGAAGATGGATGTTTGTTTCCTTGCTTAATTGAACTGACCCTATCTCACTGCCCGAAGTTGAAAGAGTTGCCCTCTTTGCCTTCTAAGCTCATGAGGTTGCAGATAAATAAAATTAGGTGGACTACTTTGAATTTTTGTAGCAATTCAAATCCTATTCCCCTTGAAATATTATTAGTCCTTTTCTGTCCTAACATTACATCTCTTCCTCTGGCTGATGAAGCAGCAAGACTTGCTGGACTAAGATTCTTGGCAATTTTAAATTGCCCCAATCTGGTATCTCTCGGAAGACATCGAGAAGTGGAGGCCACTAATAATTGCCATCTCATGGTCAGGAATCTCTGGATAAGCGACCCATCGGTGTTGCTAATGGAGCCATTGACAAGTATCGCCTCCGTAAAAACGCTGTTTATTACGGATAATGATGAGCTGGTTTCATTTCCAAATGAGGCGGAGCAGTGGCTTATGAAATTTAGATCTTCTCTTTATGAGCTGCAATTTGAAAGGCTCAAATCCTTACAGTCTCTCCCTTCCTCCTTGGAAAGCTTTTCTTCACTTCAGAAACTATGTATTCAACATGTTCCTATGCTTCGTGAATTGCCGAACCTTCCTTCCTCTTTGGAAAGTCTATCAATTGCGGGATGTCATCCAGAGTTATATGAGCTCTATCGAGGGGATGGAGGCTCCGATCGGCACAAGATTGCTCACATTCCTTATATCGATATTCCTCCCTGAAAATTTCAAAATACATAAGCTGCAAACTTCTTTCTTCTTATCTTTTTTGTACCACTTGATCCTTTATATATATACATATATTGTTCTTTTTATATTTCATTATATATTGTTCTTTAAATATTTCATTAATTCAATTGATCCACGAATAATTTAGAGCATGTACGTGTCATACTCTTAGCGAACAAAATTTTGAAGTAATCAAATATGAACAAATAATGAGCCTGTCAAATTAACTAGGCTCATTTACAACCCTAAACTCTTTTAATTCATTTTATTATTAGTTTATGTTTAGGGCTATAGCCTATATATATAAATTAAATTGAGTTTAGTACTATATTGATCAAATCCATTCATTTATTTTCTTATCATATTCAAGCGCAATTTATACATTCATTGAATTTTAAACCTTATTTAAAGTTAATAATTTTTCTTTTCAATTCAAATCAAATTAAGCTTTAATAAGACTCAACTAAGTATATATGATACTAATAATTTAAATATATAACTTAATTATTAAACATAAATAAATTTATAAGTTTTAAAAAAATTGATTTAATCAATTAAGTATTATTTAAATTATTGGACAAAAAAGTTCATATCTATCTATCCAACTATTTATTTGATATTTTCATTTCATATATAAATATCAAAATATAAATAATTTTTAAAACTTATAAAATATAAAAAATTAATATAATAACATAAAATAAATCATCAAATAAAATATCAATTATCATTAAATTATTATTTTATATTTTTTCTTATTAAACTATTTATTAAATATCAAACAAGCATAATATCCATGAACATAAATAATCAAGCTTCAATCTCTAACAAATTTTAAAATTTTATTCAAATTTATTTAACATTATAAATAAAAAAAAATATTCTTAAAAAAATACATATTTGCACAGCCGTACACTATTTAATCATTCAAAGTCTAAAATGCTAAATTACAAACATGGAGGATTTTAACATTTTTCAATCCAATAAGAATTTCATAGATTCAACATTATATATACAAAAGCGCATAATTCTCACAAACATTACAACTAAAGTGTTAGTAAAAAAACCAAAGTAATAAAAAAGCAACTAACCATGTTGTATTTGATTCAATATCTTACTCATAATATAATTTTATCTATAATAAATCATTATATCAAAATCTAAACATCATTTAGCTATCATCTTCTCATAATACAATATCATAATAGATATCATAGACACAAACAACTGCTAACTATAAGATTTCATAAATACAACCCACAAAAAATATAAAGACCCAATACTACCATTTCCCCTACAATTACATAATATTTTATCACAAATAAAACATCACACAAAGCTCCTATGCAATGTTTATAAATAGTTTCAATTTTATAGACATATTTATAAAGATATTGTTATGGTCTTCTCCAAACTCATAAATTTTGTTACAAAACATGTTGTCTGTTGTATGTATCCTCATGCATAAAGACTGGATTTTCTGTCTGAGGAGGGATATGGGTTTGTTCTAAAGCAATCCCCTGATTATGTGGAGGACCCAATGGTTGTGAACTTTTTGGTTTTTGAAGTGCCAAATAATAAATAATTCCTAAAGAGACACTTGCAAGCGATAAAAATGCACCTCCAGAGATAACCCCAGGCTTCAAAACATAGCAGTAATCGCCCAAGTACATCTTGTGCATACCTTTCTGATCATTTAGTGCAGAACCAGTCAATAATAAAAGAAATGCTATGACAGAAAATAACCTTGCAAAATACTAAAACCAGTGAGTTCAAAGAATAATGAAAATTTTCAAATGAATAAAAGATGATGTCTAGTTAACATTTTTATCTTTCCAAATAAAAAAGAAAGGCCAACATGACGTGTTCATTTAAATAAAAAGCATATGTTTAGTGCTAGGTTTGTTGAATGCTTCAAATCATTATGCAATCTTTTGATAGTTATCTTATTTTCATTCAATGCAGAAATCCTTTCAAAGAAGTTGATTGTGTAAAATGGTTCAAAAAAAAAAATTGCTAAGAAAATTACCACAGGCACTACTGCAAATATTGTAAGGCAAGAAAAAAACATTCATTTGAAGTTGAAGTGTGAAACAAAGAATTAATTGTTCAAGCTAAATAATTTCATTAGTGAGTTATGATATGAATCAATTGAAGAACAACCTAATACAATATATAACAACTCCAACTTAATATTTGATATCAAGTATATATCCTAATTTCACACCAGCACAATGCTCATGAAACCAACAAAACATCTTATTAAAGAGGAAAAAAGTTGGTATTTTTATTACTATAGCATTTATGATCGATGCTCGTTTTGTCCGTTAAATGATACATGAATCCAAGTAAAATAGCATGGATATCCCATATATAAGGAAAAGTTCATTATTCCTGATGTCACAAAATGCTGAAAAAAGAAGAAGAAAATATTAAGAATGTTACAACCTAATAAAAAATTTTAAAACCTCAAACACAAAACTTCCTTCTAAAATCTTTGAATCATTTTACCAATCTACCAATTTGTTGTTATTTTTTCATGTTCTTTCTACATTCAGCACACCAAAGGAACCAAATCACAATGTGTCTACTCCATTATTATGCATAAAAAAACTAAACCCATAATCATTAATTTCCACAGAAGTTAGAGGACTAGGAAAAATTAATGAAGCATAAGGTTAATGGATTCTCTTAAAAATAACCAAGTGAGATAACTTGACTTCAAGTCCAAGTTAGGTGCATGATTTTATGATAAAAAACAAAATTGCCCAAGATAGGACCTGACCTTGCAAAAGACAAAACCCTCAAGTGAGATGAGTATCATACCATCTTTGACCATGATATAATGATGATTAAATTATTGATAAATAATAATATCAAATCATTTGAAAAAAGAACCAAATCTCAAGGACCTGTGTAAAATTTTCTTAAGGTTGCTAAAATGTTAGCATTTGATGGGGAGATGACATTATTACAATGCAGAACAACGTTTAAATGTTCCAATCAATTCAAAAGTATTTACACTATTGATGCTATAATAACATGATGCTCATTAAACTTATTTCATGTCTGCAAGGCGTTCTTATAAATTTAATTAACTAGTATATAAAATAGAAAAGATGTACTAAGTGAACTAGAAATCCATTGTTGCAAACTGGTCCATTGATTTTGCAACAAAGTACTGCTCCAACAATAATACTATAGAATTTATGTGAAAAACTTCAAAAATTGACAACCTTATACACAGTATGAATCTATTATAGCACAAGCACATTAGCAAAGAACAAATTCATTTTAATTTATTTAGCATGTAAAATGCATCAATGCATTAAGCAGTAAGCATTGTTCATGCATATTAAAACATAATTGCTTATATTCCATGCATAATAAAAAGAATAACCATCTAGTCCAAAAAATTACCAAGAGACAATGAAGGATATCAATGCTACAGTCTAATTAGTGTTGTGGCGGTTTAAATTTCTCTTGTAGCATATGCACCCGAAAACAAAATTGATAACAGTCTGATCTATTGCAACAGCAACTGCTGAAAATAATTCAAGATATACGGCTGGGCTCTTTGGATATATACAATCACCCAAAGTCCTTGTCACCACATCAGAAACCTGAAAGAAAGGGAACACACTGGTTGAACTCAACTAAGACAAGCACAAGCTCATACTAGGCTTGTTTTGATCAAAAGCCACTCAATTCAACAGGATTTAGTTAATAAATTTGAGCACTAAGCATGGAACGGGAGTGTGAAATAAGTTTAATGCTCACAAATAGAATGTGTTCGGCTCAATCATTATGTATGATCAACTCATTCATTAAACAACTTATCTTAAAAAAGTTTTTCAACACAAATAAACAACCTAATCTTAAAAAAGAATTTTTAACGCAATTACCTGAGCAAAACAATGACCATCTTAATTATGTTCAGCTTGTCAAGCTCAATAAGCACTTGATGTACATAAATATCCACATAAACATTTCTATATATATACATAAATTCTTACAATTAAATATTTTATTTATTTTCACTTACATATTTTACTATTGATCAGAGTGTCATGAGTTGTATAGAGTATGCTAAAAACTTATTATTTTTTTATGAACACATATGAAGTAGAGTACATTAAATAACGTATCCGAGCAACATCTTATTATTTTTGGGTGTTCAAGTGTAATGTCTATTAAAAGTGCGTCTATCTTGTATGAGTGCCTTGTCTTTCATAGAATTTCAGGTTAAGCTAAATTAATTCTACTTTGAACAAGTTTAAAGGTACACTTGACAAAGTTAATATCGCTAATCTCCATTAGAGAAATTATCAAATGATTTCGTTCAAATTATTGCTATTTTCATAATTATTATATTATAGAATTAAAATAAGCCACTAATTAATTTGTTGTGTGACTCTAATCCGTTATAAAATTTTCATTTTTAGGAAAGGTTCCTCTAAATTAAATTAGTGGTTGTGGGTTCCGAAAATTTATGTCCCGGCCTCTCTGCTGACCCCTTTCTTTCTTTTCTTTTCGGGTCGTTTGGGAGAGTTTTAACGAGTAAGTTCTGAGGAAAATATTAGAGCTTCTCATTACTTTATTTCTAAAGATTTAGTTAAATTTATCACTTTGAATACTTCAACAATGTCTACAAACTTATATGTTTTTATTCCAAATTGTTAATGTATGTCAGAAAAATTTAAGCATGTGTCGGAAAAATTTTGGAGCAAATTTGAAAGTATTACCGCTATCGGAATTTGATGCAATCTTAGGATGGATTGGCTGCCTAGCTATTTCATAACTATATGGGTTATAGCAAGAAAGTAGTTAAATTCTGTTTTCGTGGGGAGGGATTCAAATTCTATAAAGATTGAGGTTTGTCATCAATGAATATCATCTTTGAAAGCTTGTAAGTTACTAAACGGTAGCCATCAAGATTTTCTTGCCCAAGTGAAAAATATAACAAAAAATTACGATGAAAGAGGTGAAAAATACTCTTAGTGGTTAAAGAATACCAAGAAGTTTTTATAGATGATTTACTGAATTGCTTCTAGCAAGAGAGTAGATTATACTATTGTGTAATTACCAGGTTCAAATCATGTGGGAAGAGTAATGTATCAGGTGGAAATTAAGAAGTTACAATAATTGAAAAGGCAATTACACAAATTATTAAAAAAAAAAAAAAGATTTATCAGATCTAGCTTGCCGCCATGAAGAGTCTCATTATTGTTTGCAAAGAAAAAATATGAAAGTTTTAGAATGTGCATTGGTTATAAACTGAATAAATTCATCATTAATAAGTATCTATTAGCACCTAATCACGTAGTTAGCTTTAATGATCTGTTAATAAACTTCTTGTAAACCAACCATATGCTCACACGTGTAAAGTCACTCTGCCTCACCTATTTATAGGCACCTCTATTCTGCTGTAATGTGACCAATGAAATAAATCCTTTTCCTTTTCTGTCTTCTTGTGAGTTCGTCTTCTCCAAGTCCGACGACCTCTTCTCTCGCCGGCGCTTCCGTTTCTACATGGTATCAGTAGCAGGCTGATTCTTCGACCAGCTCTGATCATGGCGTCTTTGTCGCAACCTTCGTCATCTCCTCCGACGATTACCGAAACATCAGCGACATCCAAATCAACTCTATACCCATCTCTAAAATTCATTATCTCCCATCTAAAAACCCTGGTTCCTCATCAACTATCATCGGACAACTATCCGATATGGAGGAATCAGATCGTAAAGCTATTCAAGGAAAATGGATTTGAAAGCTTTCTCGATCCGTCCAATCATCCGGATCAAGAACATCAAGATGATGACTCCCAGATCTTCACAGATCAAAATCTGGCTGCGGCAATATGCTCAACCATATCAGCACCGGTTCTTCCCTACATCATGCATCTTGATTCTACTTTCGAAATCTGGGACGCGCTTCAAACCAGATTTCAATCATCGAACCGCTCTAAGGTAATGCAACTCAAGAATGAGTTGCACAACATAGCCATGAAAAATATGTCTATGCAAACCTACCTTACCAAGATCAAGAAGATCGTCGACAATATTGCATCTGCCGGATCCAACATAGACACTGAGGATATCATTCTTCATATTCTGAATGGGCTACCACCCACATATCAATCATTTAAAACTGCTATCCGGACATTACAGACCCCTCTCAAGCTTGATAAATCTGTACGCAATGTTAATCAGCGAAGAAATTCACATTCAAACGGACTCCCTGCGCACAGCAACTCAGCAAGAACCTACAACTGCGTTATACGCAAACAGAGGTCGCGGCCGTCGGGGCAGGGGCCGTAATCAATGTTTATCTGGTGCAGCACCAAAACAAGGATCAAAATCCTTGATTCAATGCCAGAGATGTCTCAAAAGAGGCCACACTACGGATGCGTGCTGGCATCGCCATGATACAAATTATACTACACCAAGAAACAACTCAGACACCAACAACACATTGCTTGCATCAACAGAGGCCACATCCACGGACTGGTATTTGGATTCAGGCGCGTCCGCGCACATGACGAATCGGAACGATCAACTTATTCAAGGTTCGAGCTATCACGGATCTGATTAGGTGATGGTTGGGGACGGACGATCCATCCCGATCACTCACTTGGGCACGGGTCTGCTCCCAACACCGGATCGTAAGTTAATTTTATTTAAATTACTTCATATACCTTCTATATCACACAATCTTCTTTCTATATCCAATCTCATTTTGGCTAATCAAATTTCTATTACTTTTACTCCTAACGGATTTACTTTTAAGGATTTGCAGAACAACAAAATTCTTCTCACCGGTCCATGTAGACAGGGTCTCTACCCAATTACAAAAAAGAAAGCAGCCCCCTCCACGCGAGCTCTGTCGGCTGTAGCGGCTTCAGCAATAAACTGGCATCAACGACTTGGTCATCCTCACAATAGGACTATACAACACATTTCAAGAATGCATCCCAGTCTTCATATTTCAAAAAAAGCTTACAATTGTATTTCTTGCAAAATGTGTAAAAGCCATAAACTGCCGTTTGAAATTTCTGCAAATAGAACTAATAAACCGCTTCAACTCTTACATTCCGATGTGTGGGGACCTTCTCCGGTCACCGCACAACACGGATTTAGATACTATCTTCTAATTACTGATGATTACTCACGCTACTATTGTCTCTTTCCTTTAGTTTTCAAATCTGATGTCGTGCAAAAATTTACTCTATTTATTGTTTTCATTGAAAAACAAACGAATCACAAAGTTAAAGCAATTCGCACTGACGGAGGCAGTGAGTACACAAATCATCAATTTCAATCCTACCTCGGATCCAATGGTATCCATCATCAGGTATCATGTCCCTACACACCGGAACAGAATGGAGTGGCGGAGCGCAAGCATCACCACATCCTGGATACGGCCAGAACTATGCTCTAGACGGCATCCATACCTCTCACTTACTGGCCTGAAGCAGTAGACACAGCGGTGTACCTGATCAACAGACTTCCCTCGCACACCAACAAGAATTACTCTCCGCTTCAACTCATGTTCAACATTTCTCCCGACTACGCTCACATGAGAACATTTGGCTGCGCCTGTTTCCCTCTTCTTCCACCGCATTCCTTCAACAAACTTCAACCCAAATCACCTACCTGCGTGTTTCTGGGCTACTCAGACAAGCACAAAGGCTTCAACCAAGAAAACAATCGCATAACTATCTCCAGACATGTTCAATTCATTGAGAACATGTTTCCCTTTCAACAACGGCCTCACTCTCCCATGTCACCCAAGAAAGTCCTGCCCACTCAACTGCTCCTACCGGTATCCAAAGTGCAGGAAGGACATTCTCCCACACCGACTATGTCTAGCACCAGACCAACTAAGCTGACACCCATCTCTGAATCTACAACAACATCTCTCTCACCGCCAAGAACTTCATCAAATTTTACTCAAGATCCTACTCACGTTAAGCCTACAACACAACACCACATGACAACTCGGTCCAAAACAGGAACCCTTAAACAAATCTGTCGTTTAAATCTGCTGCATCATGTTGCTCAACAGGAACAACAAATAGTCCCCACAAGCTACTCCGAAGCCATCAAGCATCCAGAATGGAGTCAAGCTATGGCAGAGGAGTTCGCGGCACTTCAGCTGCAAGGCACGTGGGACCTGGTCTCGCCACCGTCTACTGCATCCATTCTCGGATGCAAATGGACATTTCCTAAGAAATTCAACTCCGACGGGACAGTATCAAGATTCAAGGCTTGTCTTGTGGCACAAGGCAACCGACAAGAACACGGTCTGGATTATGAAGAAACCTTCAGCCCAGTCGCGAAGCTACCCACCATCCGGGTTCTCTTCACAGTTGCCTTATATAATGGATGGCAGGTGCAGCAGCTTGACGTTACGAATGCCTTTCTTCACGGCAGCCTGAACAAAACGGTATTCATGAGACAACCCAAAGGCTTCGAAGACAACATGTCACCGGACCATGTCTGCTGCCTCAAGAAATCCATATATGGCTTAAACAGGCTCCAAGACAGTGGTATACCACATTCACTAATCACCTCATCAATATCGGTTTTCAGCATAACAAGGCAGATCCGTCGCTACTTATCTACCGTCGGCAACGTACTCAGATTTTTCTACTAGTGTATATGGACGATATATTAATCACGGGCAACGACAACGATGCCATAGCCAATCTTCTAAACAAATTAAACTCCCAATTCACCATGAAACAACTTGGCCTAGCTCGTCATTTTCTCGGCATCACTATTCAATCTATGCGAGATAAGTATTTTCTATCACAGCAATCCTATGCTCAATCTCTGCTTCAGCAAACAAATCTACACAAATGCAATTCTCTGTCTAATCCGTCCTCTACTAAACAGCCTATCAAAGTGAACCAAGACAACACGATTGCAGATGCTATCACCTATCGGAAAATCACCGCGATTCAGTATCTGACTATCACGCGTCCAGACATCGCTCATGCCGTCAACACTCTGTCTCAGCACATGCACGATCCAGAACCAATTCATCTCCATCTCTTAAAGCGTCTTCTTAGGTATATCCTGGGTAACATCACCTTCGGATTACCTATTACCAAATCCTCCATGATCCTTCGTACGTTTTCGGATGCGGATGCGGACTGGGCTGGTGATCCGATCACCAAGAAATCGACATCAAGTTTCTGTACATTTCTTGGAGACACATTGGTTTCATGGACAGTGAAGAAGCAGAACACGGTATCTCGCTCGTCCACAGAATCAGAATATAGGGCGTTGGCTGCAGCTACCGCGGACACGATCTGGCTGAAACACCTTCTGGCTGACTTCAATATCCCGCACACCAGCCCTGTTGCGTTCTATTGTGACAATACATCGGCAATTGCTTTGGAGAATAATCCGGTCTTCCACGCACGTACGAAGCACATAGAGATCGATCAAAGATTCATCCGGGATCACATTTAGCACAAAACCATCAGCCTTCTTCCCATAAGCACGGTGGATCAGATCGCCGACATATTTACCAAACCTTTGCCTACTCTTCTGTTCAAATAGTTGCGATCCAAACTGACGATCAGAGAGGAATCGCAAGTTTGAGGGGGAATATTAGCACCTAATCACTTAGTTAGCTTTAATGATATGTTAATAAACTTCTTGTAAACCAACCATATGCTCACACGTGTAAAGTCACTCTGCCTCACCTATTTATAGGCACCTGTATTCTGCTGTAATGTGACCAATGAAATAAATCCTTTTCCTTTTGTCTTCTAGTGAGTTCGTCTTCTCCAAGTCCGGCGACCTCTTCTCTCTCCGGCGCTTCCGTTCCTACAGTATCAAGTGTTAAACGAATAAAGATGAAATCCAAAAAATAGTTTTTTTTGTGGTTGGCTCGGTGGTGGCTTCTTTAGAGCCTTGGGGTTGCAGCTGTGGTGCCACTTTTGGGATCTCTGAACTTCGGATTTGGATGTCACTTTTGCTCTGGTTGTGACCGTGTATGCTAGATTATTCCTTTCCTCTACTTGGAGTTGTTTTTGAGCAACTTCGGTTGCACTTGGTGGAGACTGCTCGTTGGAATGTTGCTCGTTGGATCATTTGACAATTCGTTTGGGTGTTGTTATGGTTGTTGGCGTTGATGCAGTTGTGGTTTCCTTCTTTTTTTAATTTTTATCTTTAGCATTTTCTTGTTTTGTCTTTTCTTTTCCTATATTAGGTAGGATCTTAAGCTCTTATGTTTTATTTCAAATGTTGTTCTTTTAGTGAGCTTCTGATCCTCTAAGATCACATACTATTTATCATATTTAACGCGTAGGCCCCGTCGTGGGTTCTCAAAAAAAAAAAAAAAAAAAAAAAT